GAAAACTGGGCATCATTCATAAATAACTGAAGATCACACACTAGCAGACTTTCAAGTCTTTCTGAACACAACAAATCGTGCAGAAACATTACAAATTTAAACAATGTGTTCTAAAATCAGATCAAAATTTTAGAGCATGTGAATTCCGTTCTCTTAATAGAGTGCCGAAGTTACGACGTCAGAGGTGAGTTAGCATTTTAGCATTACGGTTCCCTCGCTCTAAAGCCTATGGGATTTTTGAATGGGTTTTTGCTAAATCGCCTGAAATAAGGTCTGTGGTGAACAGAGTCTCTAAATATTTTCACGTTTTGATCTATGATATAGAACACACAGTTATAACATGCTTGTGGTTTTTTAAACTTTATTGTGTCTGATTGTGTTTTTATAGGCTTCAAAATTTTGGATGTCCTACAAAGTGTTGTCCGAGTTGTCCTACAAAGTGACGTCATCACTTCGGCACTCTATTGGAATCATAATCTAAAGCTAAAAAAAACAAAAAAACAAACACTTGTACACTACACAATTTTCTGTAAAAACTCTGGCCCTGACCTTCGGCAACTCATTTACTCTTCCAGACAGTAAAATGGGACAAAAACTTGGGCAAAAGTCATGCAGGATACACTAGAGGAACATTTTGACTTGGAAATTGCTTGTAAATTTCACAATGAAAAGAAACAGCAAAAAAAAAAAAACAATTGCTTTAAAGATAAAATTTCGAGGTAGAACGACTGAAATATTTATCAATAATCTGTTTTATCTACAACTTTGAAAATAATTGTCACAGAGTATTCTGGCCTTAAAAGTGCCCCCTAAATGTAAGTATGAGTATTTTCTATTTTATTCTACTTGGACACAATCGCCACATGGGGGCAGCCATTTTGAAATCACGTTATTAAACGAAAACTTGCTTTAACTAAAGTATTCTCAATACTATTTGATACTTTTGATTAAGGAATATTTGAAAAATGATTTTGAATTACGCATTATTTGCATTTCTACAATGGCATCGCTAACCAAACATATTTGCTTTTGCTTGATGCTACCTCCACACCTCTAGGTGTCTCTAGGTGCCAGGCAAAAATGACATCACAACGTAAACTAAACTGCTGAGTGCAACTTTAACATATTAAATGTCACAAAAAACATTCTGTCTACACAATGTTTTGGTTATTTCCAGTAAAAATGAAAAAAAAAAATGACACATTTTCAATGTGGTCTCAGACTTTTGCACCTCAGTGCACATGCGTGCATGCTCCCCAAAAAAACATTGGAAGGAAAAGATCACCGCAGCGTGTGTTTCTTCTTCTGGTCATGAGAAACTAGGTCATCTGTGAGCCAGGTTACAGCCCATGCATAAGAGAAGACAGGCTATAACAGCAGCTCTTTCCCACAGCCAGAACGATCCATTCCAAACAAACAACCAACTCGCACAAAAACACCAAAAACAGAGACAAATGAAGTAAACAAAGTACAAATGAGTGATTAAAAAGAGCAGGAAGGGATTGAAGCTATCATTTAGACTGCCTGTCATCATCATCATCATCATCATCATCCTCTTGATCCCTCTCACTGTATCTCTCATTCTCTTTCAGTTTCTCTCTGTCCCAGATGGGAATTTGGCATCTTAATCAACTGGGTTGTTTGTGTCAATGTGGGTTCAAACCCATAACCAGGGCACAAGCACTGATTGCAAGTAAACACATTGAAATCAGGTCCCACTAGGACAATGCAACTTCATTTCAACTGTGTGTTTTATACTGAAACTAGTTTAGCTGTAAATAAAAGGATGCATGACCTTTAGAGAAGCACACAGGCTCAGTTTGAGATAATTATGGCATCCTGTTACCCAAAGGTGTGCTGAGTCTTACTGAGAGTCCATAAAAGCATAGCAGCAGCATGAATCATCTGGGTGTGGAAACTAAAATATAAAATGTGCAGGTCTAAAAAGGAATAGGCACATTGCTACTGTCTATTTCGCTCAAAAACACCCGAAGCACTCACTCAGAGCCACGACACATTGAGAAAAATACTTCTTTAGGAACCGTCGAGTGTAACTGCTGTACCAGTCGAATGCACAAAATGCATTTCCAGTTTGGGCTATAGCTGAAATATTACGCTATGGGGAGTAATGTGTAGCTTTGTTTTTGTGTTACAGAAAGCCGCTGTCATTGCGGACAGGCTGTAAATCGTACAGACTGCCAGTAAGTCTCAACATGCGGATTTAGTGTTTAGGTGTCTGTCGTCAGTCCCTGGCCCTGTAAATCCAATTGCTTTGACTATAAACAAGCAACCCCAGTAAAGAAATCACTTTAAGCTCTCTCAAAACACACATGAACACTGAATTCATGTAGCTTTTACTAACAACATACAATATACTGGAATGATATACACTTTACATTTAAAAGTGTGGGGTCAGAAAGATTGTCTGTTCATGTTTTTGAAAGAAAGAAACTAATACTTTTATTCAGTAAGGATCCACATTTGCAATGACAGATAGGATTTCTATTTTTTAAATAAATTCTGTTCTTTTAAACTTTCTGATTATAAAAGAATCTTGCACAAAAAGTAAAGTAAAATCCACAAAAATGTTCACTGTTTTCAACATTGATGATTATCAGAAATGTTTCTTGACAGCCAAATCAGCATATTTGAAGGATTTCTGAAGGATCATGTGACACTAAAGACTGGAGCAATGATGCTGAAAATTCAGCTTAGCCATAACAGGAATATTTTACATTTTAAAAAAAAATATTAAAATAGTTCATTTAAACCGTAATAATTTCACAATATTACTAACATTTGACCCCCTACCCCCTTCCTCTGAGAATCTAATCTGCATCTCTCTCTCTCTCTCTCAAATCGAATTCCGCCATTGGATCGATTTTGTGCCGCTTTACAACTGTTTTACTGTATTTTGATATACTAATATACATTAAATATACTTTAAATATACTTTTGATGCAGCCTAGGTGAGATGCCAAACGTTTTAACTAGTGTATTGCATATAATTTACACAAATAGTACATATAGACAACATTAATTTAGTGATTTATATGACTGATTTAGCTGATCCAAATGTATGGGTCATTGATGCACTTTGACATTTTAAATAAATGTTTAAGTCTGTAATTTATAATCATTTATACATTTTGGTGATTTTTTACTACAGCAAAATAAACCTATAGCAGTTCAGAGTGATGATTAAAAAAACAGGCCAGAGCAGCTAACACTGAATTCCCAACAATGCATACTGTAAATACAGTACGTCATAAGGCTCTAATGTAATGTTCTGGTTTTGTGTATTTGTATACACATTTGTATACACACAGACTCCCCGCCACCCACATGCACAAACACCCTTTTAAAAAGGAAAGCTGATACCCTCCAGCTTAAACATACGAGTACACCACACAAATACACTTCAGATGCCCAGATGTAACCAAACGAAACACTGAAATGCACCATAACACGCACCGTTCATTGACCCCAATAATTACCATTCACAAACGTGTTGCTCCTGTTTGCCCTGGCTAATTTATTCTCTCCATGCATGTGAGGTGAAAGGTCAGGCATGTTAACAGGCTGCTAAGAGCTTCCTCTGCCTGGGGATGAGGTTGCCGGCCAGTGGGGAGGTCTAAAGGGGACTGGAAAACCCTCTCCGAAAGGTCACCCGCATTTCACAGCCCTCTGCGAGAGGGCAGCGCCCACATGCTTTAACGTCCAATAAAAAGGCTTGTCAGGATGTTGCAGATCGTAAACTGAATTTCAACAACCCCCCTGACACCCTTCCCTCTGAGGAAAAGAAGACATGTTGATGCTTTATTGGCAATTAATAGTGCTGGGTGGAAAATGTTTGGTGCCCAGCTTTAAAATGTATTGTGTGGTAGTTATTTAACTTCTTGTGATGTGGTTTGGATGTATAGATATTTGGTATTGTGGTATAGTGTTAGTGTTTTTTTAGTGACACCACTGGTAGTTACAATATGAAGAGTCAGTCACAACATACTTCAGTGAACACTAATTCATAAGACTATACAAGACTATTTAATTATAAATCTGCTCATTTTGTTACTGTTCTATCCTTAAAATTCTGATGTAGCTTTTAATTAAGTAGGGGCGATATATTTTGATAATATATTTACAATAATTCTACTGACGATAAAATATTAACATCACAATGATCACAATTTTATTGCAGTTTTTAGACTAATTCCACAATATTTCCTTGTGGTTTAGTTAATAAATGAATAAATATATGATTCAATATTGTACATATGATTCAAAGTTGTGATTTGATTCATTTCCATAAATCTGTTCCATAAATTTGTCAATTTCAATAAATCAGTTAAAAAATTTGATTCAGCAATTAATGTGATACTCAGACAATTTCTTAAATTAGAATGTAAAAAAAAAAAACACAATACAGCTTAAAAGTTTGGTATCTGAATGTACAGTATTTCCAAAGAAGTCACTTATGCTTAAGGCTAAATTTATTTGATTAAAAATACAGTCACAAAAAAAAAGTGTAATATATTTAAATTAAATGCATTGAAAAAAAAGCACTTCATATATTTTAAAAATAATTATATCACTGTGATGGCAAATCCGAGTTTTCAGCATTCATTGCATCAGTCTTCAGTCACATGATCTAATATGATGATTTGGTGCTTAGAAACATCTTATTATTATCAATGTTGTTTTTGATGAAAAGCAAGTTCAAAAGAACAGCATTTATTTGAAATATTTTGCAAATATATATGTTCACTGTCACTTTTAAACAATTTCATGCATTACTGCTGAATAAAACAAAAACTCTTGAACAGTAGTGTATAGGCAAATATTGCTGTAAATTACTACGCATCATGTGTCTGGTGGATATATACTATATATTATAACCTGAACAATTTTTTATAGCGCTCGTTTTTTTATGTTTGATAGTTGTTTAACCTCTTGAATCATATACAGTACATTGAGTTTACAGTGTCATGGTAATGTGGTACCTCTGAGGATGTAGTTCTGGTAGTTTTGGTCGGCCTCAGCTCCCACTTTAATCAGACACGTGAGTCCCTCAGCCATCACAAACTCATGCACCAGATCTTTATCATCCTGCAGGAGAAACACAAGCAGCAGAAACTCAATCCAAACAGTTGCACTTGCGTGTACAACAAGCACAGAATAAACACAGAATAGCAAACACAACACATCGTGTGTAATTGAATATCTTGAAATTAACCATCAAGAAAGTGACACTCCATCATATGAACATTTTTTTTTTTTTTTGTATTGCCGCAACACACTCTCAGGGGGACCAATAAGAATTCCAGAAAGATTCAGTTGTGCTTTCCTTTCAGATATGCACTTGATTTCAAACTGACATGGCCCAAACCGAAGCTTACGCATTCCTATCTGTCAAACGCTCTGTCAGTGTTTTCTCTATGCTCCCAAAAGGTTCCCACTCCTACACCAACACATGTTGCATTGTTCTGCAAACTCTCTGTCCACCAGGTGCTGGGAATTTCTTAAAACAACCTAAAAGTAGCTCAACATGCTTAGAAGTTCCAAAAGAAACATTAACCTATTAAAGTTATAATGCAATTTTACAATTCAAATTAAAAATAATTTATTATGAAATTTTAATATATATATACACTATAAGGTAGTATACTATATATATAAAGTAGTAATAACTACATAATAATAGTGTATATTACTATATAAATAGAATATAAATTATAAAGTATAATATAAAACATTAATCTATTAAATTTAATACATTTTTAAAATAAAATAAAAATCTTGAATTCTGCCATTTAAATGATTTAGAATTTAATACATTTTCAAAATGATAATTAAAGGTATTATTGAAAATTTAGAGAATATTTCATAATTATTTAATAAAATCTTGTTTGTTATCTTATTTTAAAGCTAGCTGTATAATTTTTTAAATGTAGTTCTGCAGTGTTGTTTTATAGAGCTGTCCCGGACTCGTCCCTGTAGTCCCTTCAGATCTCCCCTAGTGAGCACTTACAGTTTTTAAATCCTTTTCACTTCCTACCCATGGAAACCCTTTGTGTTTGGGCTTGAGTAAGTTTTGGTTGCTAAGTGCTAATCGACTGCTTCCCTGCAGTAAAAAAAGTCCATTAAACACACTGTATAAGAAGTGTGAGGAGCAGTACGTGTCTCTGCTTGATTTATGGCACTCACACACACACACACACTCACACACACACACACAGGTCCACGGCTGGGCACACTTGACTAATTCTACAATTACAGCATGCATCCCTCTGTCCTGTACTGTGTGTCATGTGTGGAAGAGAATTAGGCTCCAGCAGTCACTGATGTCCAATATTTCTCCTACTTTGGGATTTGTGTGGACACACCCTATTGGCTGATCTGAAAATGATTAGGGGTGTTGGATTTGTGGAATTTATATTGGTGCAGACAGTCTATAATGACACAGTATGCCCATGTCTGGAGAAATGCATTTTACTGCACATGCAAAATGCACAACAGCATAAAGAATGCTGGGAGAAAGTTGGGTGATCAATCAGATCACTGCTCATCTATACGGTTCTCAAGTGATTCATACGTCTTAGATTAAAATTTAGGGAGATTTTGAGGATTATGAGATTGGTTTCAATAACTTGAACTGCTGAGCTTGAATTCTGTCCAAGAATTGTGTGTGTGTGTGTGTGTGTGTGTTTATATCCCGGTGGGGACTTCAAACTGAATGCACACTGACTCATGGGGACATGTGTCACCGTGGGGGCCTTTGAGGTCCCCATGAGGAAACAAGCTTATAAATCATACAAAATTATTATTATTATTTTTTTTTATGTAAAAATACAGAACGTTTTCTGTGATTGGTAGGGTTAGTGTTAGGTGAAAGAATATACAATTTGTAGAGTATAAAAACCATTACATCTTATGGAGAGTCCCCACAAAGATTGAAAACCACTGTGTCAGTGTTTTGGGAGTAACTAACTAAGAGTAGTAACTCTACAATCATATTTTTCAGAATTTATTTTCTAGTGTAGCTAAATTAAAGCTTCTTTCTCCCACCCGAGGTGGCGTTAAACTGCTGATTTACATATATGTGCTGATATATGCTGATTTAAATGTATGTATTTCTTTATATGTCTCACAATTTTGACTTTTCAAACTTGTGTACTTGCAATATCTCGTAATTACATTTGAGACAAAAAGTTCAACTCTATATAGCACTTTTGTAAATTAGTGACAATTAACCCAGGCCTGTGGTGACATTTCTGCTAAACTATATTTTATGTTTTGTGACACTTGAAATGTCAAGTTAGTGTATTGCCGCAATTCGGAAAAGAATTGTCCAGTGAGTGGGGCTAAAATGTTAACTCTCTAAGCTTTTGAAAATAACTCTACTGTAACCTAAGCAATGTGTTAAAAAAATAGTGTTTAAAAATGCAAACATGAGATAACAAGTATTTGCTGACTAGCTTTATTTTGAGCATAAATGTAAATTACATAAGTGACTTATGTTTCACGGGACTTGTGCTCATAACATACTGTACACTCTCAGAAAAAAAGGTACAAAAGCTGTCACTGGGGCTGTACCTTTTCAAAAAGTAAACGTTTGTCCATTCTAGGTGCTAATATGTACATTTTAGGTGCTAATATGTACATTTTAAGTGCTAATATACATTTCAGGTGCTGATATGGACATTTTATGTGCTAATATGTACATTTCAGGTGCTGATATGGCATTTTATGTGCTAATATGTACATTTCAGGTGCTATTATGTACATTTTAGGTGTTAATATGTACATTTTAGGTGCTAATAAGTACATTTTAGGTGCTATTATGTACATTTTAGGTGTTAATATGTACATTTTAGGTGCTAATAGGTACATTTTAGGTGCTGATATGTACATTTCAGGTGCTATTATGTACATTTTAGGTGCTAATATGTGCATTTTAGGTGCTAATATGTACATTTCAGGAGCTAATATGTCAATTTTAGGTGCTAATAGGTACATTTTAGGTGTTAATATGTACAATTTAGGTGCTAATATGTACATTTTAGGTGCTAATATGTACATTTTTAGTGTGAATATGTACATTTCAGGAGCTAATATGTCCATTTTAGGTGCTAATATGTACATTTTTAGTTTTAATATGTACATTTTAGTGTTAATATGTACATTTCAGGAGCTAATATGTCTATTTTAGGTCTTAATATGTATATTTTAGGTGCTAATATGTACATTTTAGGTATTAATATGTACATTTTAGGTGTTAATATGTACCACTAAGGTACCAAAATGCAGCCTTTGGGTACAAACGTGTACCTTTTTAAAAGGTACAGCCCCAGTGACGGCTTTTGTACCTTTTTTTCTGAGAGTGTAGGTGTGCTACAGTATTATTAAGGTCATAATATATTAATGTGGAAATATTGAACTGTGCAAAAAATGAGTCATTATCAATCATAATCTGTCCCAGGCATTTCAATTTGTGTAAAAAAAAAGAAAAAAAAAAAAGGAACAAAAATAGGCTATGCACGCATAAGTTCCACATTTGACGCAAAGCTTCAGTTTCCGGTTAGGGAGATTTAAAGTGAAGGAAAACCGAGGAAACGAGATTATGGCAGAGTCTTCAAAATTTACTGTCTTCCCGTCTTTGAAACGAAACTTTAATACGTTTAGATGTAATTGTATATATGTTTATTTAATATAATAAACAAAGAAGCATCAATTAAATGAGGGGTGTCTGTTTTTGGGACTAACGTTTCTTTATTATAGCCATAGAGTATAAAAGCCAATATAAATTCTGGGTATAGCATTGGACTCTACGATCGGCGGAAGTAATCCAGCATCCTTACACCTTAACCGGAAATACCACCGTGCATAGAGCCCATTTCACCTGGAAACTGCAGTAAATATTTTGTATAGTTACGTTTTTGGAATCATGCAAAAATGTAGGTAGAGGCACACTTTTCTAACGGTTCAGAATGGGACTTTATTTCTTATTTTGAAATATTTCTCACAATTACATTTTTAAATTTACATATGTATCTACAGTATTGTTTTGTAGATTTATATGACAACACAGGCAAAAAAAAATATTAACCTCAGCGTCATACTATTTAGTTATGTATACTCGTTACTTGGAGTTTGCTATTTGTTACAGTACTATGCGCTGGATCTAGACAACACAGTGTAAATTATCGTTAATAAAATCACTACTTATCGCTTGTGGTGATATAGAATTGGAATTGCCCCCTTTTTCAGAATGAGACGATGAGAGAAGCCTGCTTGATATTGTCCCAGGTTAGAAAATAAGTATGAGGTGAAATGGGCAGAGCAAACTAACAACTTCGAATTAAACTGTTGCGGTAAAGTTATCCGATTATAGATAAACATCAACCTATTGCCTATTATTGCACAGCCAGGAACATAACATTTGTTTCCATGATCTGCCATTTTCCCTATGATCCTCACTTGTTTCTTCACCTGCAGAACTTCCGATGATTCGGCTGCGCCGTTTCGCCTGGAATTGAACATGGGCTGGCATATGCAAACTTTTGGAGGCGTACATACTAATAAAGATCCCGACTGTTGCATCACAGTCGCTGTTATGTGGAGATTCGCCTCTTTTCAGAGGTGTTTTTCAAAAACGAGATTTAAATAAGGAGAAAACAATGGTGTTTGAGACTCACTGTATGTCATGTCCATGTACTGAACTCTTGTTAGCCTATTTATTATTTATTAACTCTAAGATGTATTATCTTGTTGCCAAGATAATAGCCAATTACAAATTCTAGGGCACCTTTAATGTTATTGTTCATTGTTTCATTCAAAATCCCTCCTTTTTACTAGAAAACACCACGCGGATTAAGTTATAGAGAGTGCCTTCGATGTACAGTAGTAGGCTAGCTATAGTTAGCATATTAGCATCTTGTATTAGCTACGCAACTATTTTTTAGGGTAAAAGGGGTAGCTTCACTGTTGCTGAACTACTTTGAATTATGAGTACACTGTAAAAAATGCCTGTGAAATCTACAGTTATTTACTGTAGATGTCACAGTAACAATACTGTAAAATATTTTTACAGTAGAATATTGTAAAGT